GGGATTGCGCGGCACTTTGCAGTTGCGGCGGCCGCCGGACTGATTGGCTCCGCGTCGGCCGGAGCGAGCCGCTCCCGGGGGCGGACGGCGCGCGGCAGACGGTGGAGGGCACTGGGGCAGGGCGTGACGCAGGTCACCGACCCACGTCCGCCTCATTGGGCACCAGTGGCCTCTCGGCGCTCTATGGGCCGTATAGCCAAAGTGGGTGCCGCAGACGACACTCCACCCTCTCCTGCCCCTCTCACACCCTCCCCGTCTGAGGCAACCCTGTCCTATTAGCCGTTGAGTAACGAAGGAGATACCATTCCAGGGCCACCCTTTATCGTCTCGCTGGAATGACGCAGGCAGGCGGCTAGCAAAGCACTTGTCCCAGATCTACCGACCCCCTCGTGCGTCAGTTATCTGCTCCTCTCGTGCGTCAGAACTCTGTCCTCTCGGAGAGGAATGGTCACGGTACGTGCACAATGCACATCTGCTCGGCGCGGTGCAGCGTACACACGTTCGAGTCGCATTTCTGGACACGGTCGGCCGCCCACCTGCGATGGGGCCATGCCCGGCCGGTGACTGGTGACGTCATCGACTACGGGCCAACCACGACCCACCCACGGTCCGCCGGTCAAGGGCAACGCTGCAGATTGGGCAATGTATTGAATGGGCGAGATTTACACGTATATCTCAGCTCTGTCCCTCGCGTTATCTTGTTATCCTGGAACCTTTGATGTTTCATTTACGATAGATACAATGTTGGTTGTTGTTTTCCTTTTGTAATCGTCACCTCTGACCGATACGGGTTTGTCCTCCTTTTGCCGTGCAGCTTCCGGTCGATTGCCTCAATACGCCTATCTTCGTTATCTACCAACCACACTGGTCGTTTGCCAATGCCTTTCTTGCCGGTACCAGTGCCCGTGTTTTTACTCTTGTTGACCGTAATCAGGGCATCTGTCCGGCTGGCTTCTCGGTAGTCGGTATCCCAGGCTTCTCCACGACGACGGGGAGGGAGCGGAGCGGGGAAGAAGGAGGCGCTCTCCCCGTTTGCGGTGCTCCTGATTGCCCACTGCACTGCGCCTAACGATGCCGCCCGAGAGCCGCGCGGTGCGTCGAGTTCGTCTTCGCTAACGAGCCCCTCCCCCCCCCCCCCCCGTCTCCAACTCGGCCTCCCCCGCCCCGGTACACAACTTGCCCGATTGAGTATTGTGCCGACCACCCACTAAGTTGCTGCTGCAGCAGCGGCGGTGGCGGAGTCGCGGCGGCGGCGGCGGCGGCGGTGCGGCGCCCGCAAAGTTGGTGTTTGTCACGGGCCGTGGGCCGCGCGGCGGCTGTGTCGGGTCGCTGTTTATGGCTCCGTGCAGCGTCCCGCCCTGCTGACCAGCTGATACAGCACACAGTGGTATTGTGGCCTGTGGGCTCCCCCTGTCAGCACGGCGGCGGGCGATGAAGGTGCTGTGTCAGTGTAAACGTGGGGTGGTGACGTGGAGTGGCTGGAGTGGTTAAAAGTGGTGCGTGTGGCAATGGGAACCTGTCACAGCAAAGATGATCCATTGAGTTGTGGAGAGTAACACACCGAGGTGTTAGCGACACTCCTAGAAGCGCGCCTCTGTCCACACTCAAGGGGTCGGAGGTCGTGTGACCGAGCGTCAGACGGTGAAAGAGTCGTGGGCTTGAGGTAGCACCTGCGTAAGGGTCGTGGGACTGGGCGCACGAGTGGTGTAAGCCCGCAGCCAGGTCCGTACGCGCGAGTCGCCCTGCGACCTCACAACGGTTTACGCTCCGTGGACCAACGGTTTCGCGTGTCGTGAGGTCTGCGTGTACGATCCACCCCGTAATTAGGCGTCCGTTTTATCCATCGTCTGCCTCAGATTATCCGTAAAGATCAGCGGCACAATCAGACCTAATCGTGGGTAATCACCGTCGCAGTCGGCCGCGACGACCTTGAAATCAGCGGCGCCGTCGCATCCCGGGCGAAACTTACTGTTCCGTCTCTATGTTTGGTGCGTGACAGCGGACTTCTTCGGTTCTTGGTTCCACAGTTCATTGCTCTCGGGGTCAACTGCACGCGGGCGGTAAAGCACGTCCGAGCGACAGGAAAATTCCCCACTTTCATGCGTACGGCGGCGGCGGTGATTGCCATTCCTATGCGGCTGTCGGCCGGGCGGCCCGGGCCATTCTGTCGGCCCATCTGCCGCACATTGACCTGCCATCGCTCGGGGCCGGGGCCGACCGACCGCCGCGGAGAGCCGGCGAACGCAGAACGTGCGGCTGACGCTCGGACGCGGCTCTTCAGACCGCGCATCGATCGGTGGTCCGCGCGCGCGGTACACCATGCCACCGACCCGCGCGGGTCCGAGCGGCAGCGCGGTGCAGCGAGGGATGCCCCCAGCACGTCTGTGAGGGACCAGCTGCTCACTATACCCCGTGCACACAGCGGTGAGCTGCCGGTACGTCCCACCTCCTGTGGTGCCCACTGAATGGTCTCCACGACGGTCGGCGGGCGGCGGACAGCCGCTGGCGGCAGACGGTCTATAGACGCTCGCGAGCGACCCTCCCGAGCTGTGATTCATCGTGCCATATTAAAGAAAATTCGTTTGACGAGCGGTGCCATATTTTGCCGTCGTCTCGGGACGGGCGGCGGGGAATTTGTGGCGGTACGGCCCATCTCCGGAGGGATCGCGGCGCCGCCGTATGTCGGCAGCGGACCGATGACGCGGCCCCGGATTTTCAATTTACTGTCGCGGCCGCGGTGCCACCGCCGCCGCCGAAAGTTATACCGGAGCTTGCCGAGCGGCCGGGGTTAATTTTCGTCGAGATAGTGTAATAAATGGGCGGATGGAGGCGGAAAATGGTCCCATTTGGTCTGGAACCGGTGGTGCGTCGCGTCGCCGGTCACCCGTGACTCGTCCAATGTCCTCTCCTGTCACTCTGCCGATGGGACTGTGACTGTGACTTGTTACTGTGACTGTGACTCTGGCTGACACTGACTCAGTCTGAGGGGTGAGTGGACCAACAGGGGCGCACTCGGTCAGTCCGTCGTAAAATGATTGTCACCCTAATCCGGCATGGGCCAATGCGGGCCAGTGAGGGTGGACTGACCGGTATACCTATCGGGCGTATCCTACGGCCGCCGGTTTCATAATGCCCGGCTCTCCTGACCGCTGGCCCAATTATCAGCAGGCTTTGCTGGCGACAGAAAATGTGGGCAATGTAGGCACCCTCTCACACCGGCATGCTTCAGAGTGGAGTTTCGTTTTATTTCGGGATTAGACTCGGTCGCCGGGTGGGGATTGGCGGTCGTAATACGTTGCAGGGCTTCTCTGTTCGAGGCTTTGTGGATAATACGTGCGGTATTTGGCCGAGTTGTGACAGTGGCAGATGGGTTTCATGTAGTTACACGCTGACCGCGAGCAGGCATTGTGAAGGCACCTGCGACTTGCGATTCCTGAGAATGTCGCCTCACACAGTGTTTGGTCATTTTTAGAAGGGACCTCTCGGAAAACTGTGGAAGGTATCATTTTTCAGTGAGATGCAGGCGCGGATACAAGGGGGGGGGGCCATGGGGGCCATGGCCCCCCCCCCCTTGGCCGATTTTTTTCAAAAATAAAATAAAAAGTTAAAAAGCTGAAAAGGGGGCCTCCTGAAAATAAAGTGGCCGAAATCCGATGAGTTTTTTTTTTAACCTACCCACTTAGTTATTTCTTAGAAGACTAGCTGAGAAGACTTCTTTGTTAGAAGATTGGTAAAGCTTTTCATAACTTGGAGGTCTCTTATACTCACAGAGATGACCACTTTTACAGGGCCTCCTAACCTGCACAGAGAGCCTCCAAGCCTGCACAGATGTCCTAACAAACACAAAATCTCTTAGCCTACACAGAGGCCTCCACTCGCATCCGAACAAAGGGCCTCCTAGCCAACACAGAGGGCCTCCTAACTCACACAGAAGGTCTCCTATCCTGCACAGAGGGACTCCAAGCCTGCACAGATATCCTCTTCGCCAACACAGGACCTCTTAATCTCCACAGAGGGCCTCCACTCGCATCCACACAAAGGGTCTCCAAGTCTGTACTGAGGGCCTGCGCTCGCATCTGCACAGAGGGCCTCCTAGCTATCACAGAGGGCTTCCTAGTTCACATACAAGGCCTCCTAGCAGGGGCGGATCCAGAGGGGGCGATAGGGACTATAGCGCCCCCCGGGCGACTTTCTCATTTTCTTTTTTTTTTTGCAAAAAAAAGCATGATAGGGGGCCCCCAAAAATAAAGTGGACGAAATCCAGGCTTAAACTTTTGGGGGTAGGTAGGGCCCCCATCGATGGGGGGCCCCCGATTCGGAATAGCCCCTCCCTTGGCAAAATGCTGGATCCGCCCCTGGTGAGATGAACAAGTTAAGTTAAACTTGTACATTTAAAATAAAACGGTTAATAATGATAGAAACGAGATCAGCAAGAATTATCTCGTTTTAGCCTGCGCACGAATTATCAGGTACCCATCAGCGTAAAGTAATATGGATATATCGTGTAACGTGCTGTTTTACAATGGTGCGAAGTCATGTCTGGGTGCGGTTACAATGCGATAAACACCCAGTGGCATATGCTAATTGTGTCGACCTCTGTCGGAGGCCCGCTGCCAGCGGGGAGCGGCTATCATCTCGGGGAGTGCCTGTCCCCACTCCCTGAGGGAGCGGCTGTAGCTTAGGGCCTCGGTGCACTGGGGAGCAGCCCCACACCGGGTTGCCGCCTGTTGGCCGAAGGACGGCAGCTTTTTCTCGCGTCTGACGCTGCGGACGACTCTCCCAGGCGCCGTCAATGTCTCCCCGTGTTTGGTGGCGTCGCTAACACCGCGGCAGCTCTGTTGAAGTGTTTTTGTCGGTGTGGTAGCACGCCGCTCATTCTCAGTGTTGTTGACATGCCTGTGTTTTCGGGGAAGTCGTCCGAACCTTGGTTTGGTGCCGCGCAGAAACCCGTTCCGTTTGCCGGCCGGTCTGAGCCTGACGCTGTTGTTTGTGTGTTTCAGGTGGCCGCTGTTTTATCGTCACCCCGCCGGGTGCGTCTCTGACGGAGCGACTCTCCTCCCGCCGACCTGCAGCGCTGCCGTCGATGGCGACATGGTGACGCCGTCATGACGCCGGGTCGACGGAGTGCGCTGCTGCTCGTCGCATGCGTCGCGCTCGCCGCCGGCCAGACGGCGCGGCCGCCCGAGTGGCGGCCGGGGGCGGCGGGCGGCGCAGCGGGTCATGGCGCCGCCGACCTGAGGTCAGGGGTCGGCCGGCCGGCGGCCACACCCGGAGCGTCGGCGGGCGGCGGCCGGGCGAGGGATGACGAGGAGCTGACTACCGCTACGCTGAGACTGTCCGCGCCGCAGCCGGCACAGCTGACACCGACACCGACCGTGGCCTCCGCGCCCGCCGCCGGGCAGGGGCGGCACGGACCGCGGAGCGACGGGTCACCGACAGTGAACACTCCCGCCCCCGCTGGTGACGGTAGTGACGGCACCGAGCAGCCGGTGGTGACAGTGGTGCCGGTGGATGGTGCAGGGGACGGCCGCGGGGCCGGACCCGGGGGTGATCATGTCGAGTACGAGCTCGATGTCTCGACGGAGAGAACTGTGGGAGTGATTGCGCGGTCAGGGTCGCGAGGGAGACACCAGATGAAGGCGGATCTACAGCCGCAGCCTCAGCCCACACAGCAGTCGCCGGTGACGCCGACCTCCGGGCTCGTCTACTGGCCGCGGTACGGTCCGACGACGCGCCGCTCGGTGGCCGGCGGATTCATCTACCAGCGGCCGGCGCTCTCCGCGGACCGGATACACTTCCCGACTCTGACTCCCAACCGCGGACTGAACTGGTTCGAGCAACGGCTGGGCGGCCACCGCATCCACTTCCCCACGCAGTCGCCGTTCTCGGGCTACGGCCGCCGGTGGCCGCCGCGGCCGCGGCTGACCACCACGCCTCGCCCGCCGGTCCGAACTGAGAGCCCCGCGGGGCCCGGGGGAACGGAGCGGCCGACCCGGGTTCAGCACCAGCCGCCGGCCACCCGGCTCGAGCCTCCCACCTACCCGTTCTCGAGCTCGGCGCCGCCGCCGGCCCGCTTCGAACCGCCGACTGTGTATGTGCCGAGTATCCCCAGCGACCTCACGCCGCCCAAAAAGAAACACTGGAAACCACTGATGCCGGTGCCTGAGCCAGAGCCGGAACCAAAACCAGAACCAAAGGCTGAACCAGAAGCTGAGCCAGAACCTCAAGCGGAACCGCAACCAGAGGCGGAGCCAGCGCCAAAACCGGAACCGGAACCGGAGCCAGAGCCAGAACCGGAGCCAGAGCCGGAGCCGGAGCCGGAGCCGGAGCCAGAGCCAGAGCCAGAGCCGGAGCCAGAGCCAGAGCCAGAACCAGAGCCAGAATATGAACCGGTGCCGGAGCCGGAATATGAACCGGTACCGGAACCGGAATATGAACCAGTGCCGGAACCGGAATCAGGGCCAGTACTAGAGTCGGTGCCAGAAGTACCCGAGCCAGCGTCTAAGCCGGAGCCCGTGGCGGAGCCTGTGCCGGAGCCTGGTGGGGAGCCGGAGCCGGAGCCGGGCGCCGAGCCGGAGCCGACGGGCCCGGTGCTGGTGTCGGGGATGGGCGGCCACGATCTGGAGCCGTTTGCCGAGCCGATGCCCGAGTGGGACCGGGCGCGCGCCGCCTGGGGCCTGGCCTGGCCGGTGCACGTGTACGCGCTGGGCGGCCTGTTTGCGCTGCTGGCCGCGCTGGCGCTAGTGGCGCTGCTGCGCGTGGCCGCCTTCCCGCACCTGCTCTCCAAGCCGTACTTCATGACGCTGACGGCCATGGTGCTGGTGCTGTCCGCTCTGCGCGCCGCCTACCTGCTTACAGACGCCTACAACGCCGGAGGACTGTACGCGGCGCCCGTCAACTACCTGCTCTTCAACCTGCCCGTGCCGTGCCTGACGTCGGCCTTCTCGATCCTGTTCATGGCCCTGCTGAGCGCCACCCAGGTGCAGATGATGCGGCCGCGCGTCCAGTCGGCCGGCGCGCTCGCCTCCGTCATCGCCTTCCACTTCGCCTTCAGCGTGGGCACGGATCTGATCGTGGGCCTGCAGTTCGAGGGCCGGTTCCTGCTGGCGCTCTGCCAGCTGATGTTCATCTGCTGGGGCCTGGCTCTCAGCGTGACCTACTGGTACATATTCGGCACGCTGTACCGGGCGGCCGTGCGCCGTCAGGCCGAGGCGCTGCGCACCACCGTCACCAAGCTGCAGATCGAGGGCAGCGTGATGCCGCGCCGGCTGCCGCGGCCCACGCTGGGCCTGGCCGTCCGGCTGACGGTGATCGTCTCCGTGCTGGGCCTGTTGCTGGCCGTGCTACAGGCCTACGGCATGGTCTGGGTGTACGACGCGTTCGGCGTGTTCAGCGCGCGCGCCGGCGGCCCGCAGCCCTGGGCCTGGTGGTGCTACCAGACGCTGTCGCGCGCCGTCGAGCTGCTGCTGGCCGGCCTGCTGCTGTACGTGGGCTCTCAGCCGCTGAGGTACCACGAGCCGCGCCGGCGGCCCGCCTGTGCTGTGTTTGCGCTGTGTACCGGGTCGTGCGCGGGCCGGCCGCGGCTGCTGCGACCCAAGCCGCAGCAGGCGGGCCGCGCGGCCGCCGAGCTGGACTACTACCCGGCCGTCTGCAGCCGAAACCAGGTGGTCCAGGTGAGACTAACGGGCAGGGCGGGAGTGGGTTAGATATGTGCTTAGGGAGGAACGGGGTGAGGGTTAGAGAAATCTCAGAGAGTGGGGAGCGGATGGGGACGGAATGATCGGGCTTTTAGGGCGCGTCAACAGCGGGCTAATTATGCACCCATTGCAGGGATTAGTGGGTGTCGGACTAGGAGCGGGGCGCAGTGGGGTGTGAGCTGTGGGTTCACTGCGGCCGGCTGACTGCGCCGTTAGTGTGGAGAGGCCCGTTCCGGGACGTTGCTTCTGCCGTCGTGCCGTGGGCGGGGTCGTGGCAATTGAAGCCTGCTCGGTTGCCGGTGAACGGTTGAGGCCGGTCGGAACCGCCCTCTCAGGTTACGCCGCGTTACGACCGGTAGCTGAAATGACGTATGTCGGCTATGATGGGCTATGATATACTCTGCAATCGTTACGGAACGGCTGTAATAACATAATGGTGGGGCCATTTCAAGAGCCGTGTTATGGGTTTCATAGCCATAATGGCGGCCTAACCTATGATTGAACTCAGCTGTAGCAAAGAGATAGCTGTTGTTGGGTTGGGTGGCAATCAGCAAAGTGTCCAGGGGTCGCCGGGCGCATGCGAGGCGTTGACAGGACGCGCCAGTCGGCTCCAAAATATTGCCCCCGAGCAGACAAGGTCATGTCGTGACAGCTGGTCGCTTGGAGCGGTTGTTCAGTTGTCTCTGTTACAGGGGTGCCGCTATGCAATCAAGCAAATGGGTATGCTCTTTTTGTCATTCACCAGACTGTTCGCTGACGCAAAAAGCGTCTGGTATTGTTTTCTATTTGTGGCTATGACCTTGTCTTTATATCCGTCCATTCCTGTCTGGCGGTGACGACGCCGCTACCGGCGGCAGACGGGCCAATTGAGACGTGCTCCGGTTTTAGATCGGGACGGCCGCGTTCTGGAGCGCCAAACGAGCCTGCCGATATCGCGGTGCGCTCCGGTGGCCGCCCTTCAGGCGATTACGGCCAATGGATCACGTCAGGCGCGCAAAACACTAATTGCTGCCGCTCTGCCGGAGCCGGTCCGCCAGCGGCCAGAGCTAATTAGCGTTACCGGCAGAGCGGCTAGCGGAGGGGGGGGGGGGGGATCAGGTGGATACGGAGACGGAGACGGAGACGGAGACGGAGACGGAGACTGAGAGCGAGACGGAGACGGATATGGAGAGCAGGCTGCATGGGTGTCGTTTTGTATAGGCGTGGTAGGGCCCGAGCCCTACCAATAATTTTGGAAATTTAACATTATGCCTATGGCGTTGCGTGGAAAGAATCGCTTTGAATTGGCAAAAATTTACATTAGAGCCCTACCAATAATTTTCGGAAAGTGTCGCCCCTGGCAGGCTGCGTTCAGCGTAGTTTATTCTCGGTAGGGAATAAGCCACCGCGCCGCCGCCGCCGCCTTTATACAGCCATTGACGGTCGAAGCTGGGATCGTTCCCGAAACTCGTCAGTCGACGTCTCGCTCGCGGCGCTCTCACACCTCTCCGTGGTCGATCGATGTTCCCGGCCTCTGCCGGGCAGCTCTGCGCCGCCAGGTCAGGCCGCCCCGGGCCGGCCGACGCCTCCAGACGGGTCTGGTGGGTCCCCCGGGAGTGGACGGGGATCCTGTGACCCGTCGGCGCCGGCTCATCAGAGGCGGACGGCCCCGGCGGCGCGGCCACACCAAGTTGGCTCGTAAAGTGCCGCGGAGACGCGGGACGAGAATGTACCCCGCGAGACGAGGGGAGCCGAGGCGCAGGCCCTGATTGCAGAGGCCCTGCAGTCGCGGTGTGGCCGCGGGGGACGATGACGCATAAGCGATGAAATGCGGCCGCTTCGATCGGCCAATTTGTTGAATGACGAGCCTGTCGTATTGTCTCACTTCAAAGCGGCGTTTGAATGTCCATTCTCCCATCGTAACGTTGCGTAATAGGAGGAAAACGTCTGAACCTGCGTTTCCCTTTGTATCGTGGTTTCCTTGCCTTCGTCACCAGTTCCTTGCATTGTTTTCCCCATTGCATGTGTCCAGTTGGTGTTGTCAAAGTTGCAGAAAAGTGTCTGCGATTACGCGTGTGACCCCATGTGCGGTTGGTGATTGTTCTCCCCATGTGCGGTTGGTGTAGTCAGAGCTGTAGAAAAGTGTCTAGGAGTACGCGTGTAACCCATGAAACTATCAAACACTCCGCAGGTACGGGAGTTGTATGCCGTGTACTGCCCCCTGTTCGCCGCTCGGCCCCGCTCTGACCGTGCTGTCTGTGTGTGTTTTGCAGAGTGCCAGTCAGGACGGCCGGCTGGCCTACACGGACCGGCTGCCGCTGGCCGGCGGACACGCCATCTCGGTGTCGCTGCCGCAGCGGCGCACCATGCGCCGGTCGGCCTCTGCGGACCGGACCAGCGCTCCGGCCGGCTCCCGGCCCTCCTCGCTGCTGCAGCCGGCGCCGCCCCTCGTGCCGCCGCCGCCGCCCGAGCCGCCGCACGTGGAGACAACCTACCAGCCGGTACTGCGCGCGGCGGCCGCCGAGCCGGGTCGCGCCGCCGGACCCGCCTCCAGCACACTGCGCTCCAGCGGCACTCAGACCAGCGAGGAGTACACAGACGTCTGTGCCACCTACTGCCTGCCGGTCGGCGGCCGGCCCAGTTTGGACACGGACGAGCTGAGCTCGGCGGCGCCCACGCCGTCGCGCGCGCTCTGCCGCCAGGCGAGCACGTGCAGCTCGGAGAGCGCGGCGCACAGCTTCACGGTGCGTCTGTACCGGACCGTGGACGGGCCAGGCCGGCCGCGGCCGAGGGCGGCGCCGGGCGCGCCGGCCGCCGGTCCGGCCACCTGTCCGCGCGCTGCCCGACACCGGCTCAGCTGCCCGCTGCCGCCCGACGACGCCTCCGACGCCGGGCTCGGCTCTGTCGGCTCCGACGCGGCCGTCAACTTCCTGACGGACGTGTCGACCAGCGGCTCGACGTCGCAGCCCAACCTGAGCGACTCGCGCGAGTGCAGCGAGGCGGGCGTGCTGTCGCGCGGCGCCAGCGACCCGTCTCTGGACGGCTCGCCGCGGCGGCAGCGCGGCGCCGCTTTCTCGCTGCCGCTGCGCCGGCCCGCCGCCGCCGACGCCACCTCGGACGACATCACGCCCGACTCTGCCGTCGTCGTCGACTACGATGACGCGTGTGACGTCTGCGCGGGTGGTGACACTCGGCGCGGGGCTGGCGCCGAGGGTGAAGGATACCAGAGCGTCGCGCCGGCGGAGGCTGCGGCGGCGGTGGCGGCGGAGCGGCCGCGGGCCCGGCGCGGCGCCGCCCGGTTCCTGCCGGCCACCTCTGCCGGCAGCCTGCAGGAGGTGCTGCGCCGCTACCGCAGCCGGTCCGGCTCTCGCGGCCTGCTCGACAAGCTGCGCGGCAGCACGTTCTCGCTGCAGGTGGGCCGGCACGGCTACTCGCCGCTGGGCTCCACGGGATCGGTCCCTCAGTCGCCCGGTCCGCCGGCCCAGCTGGTGGACGGCTGCACCCAGACCGACTTCCCGCCGCCCTCGCTGGCCGCATCGCGCTCCGATCTGACCAGCGAGCCGGACCTGTGTGACGTTACCGAGTGTGACGTCACGGACATGACGTCATCGGCCGATGGCGAGCGGCTGCGGCGGCTTGTACTGGGAGGACGGTGCGCCGCCGAGCGACTCGACCTCGAGCGCTGCCAGTGGCCGCCCGAGGAGGAGACCGGTGTGTGATGCCGCGTGACGCCGCCGTGACGGGACGCACAGTGACGCGGCCGTCACGATTGGCGCGCGGCGCGGCCGGCGCCCCCGCGGCCGCTCCGCATGAGTGCTTTGTGAGTCAGTCGCGCGGGCAGTGATGGAGCGGGCCGAGTACGGAAGTGAGTCACGCGGATGTTCCCCGGCCCGGGCCGTGGCCGGACGTTTTTATCCCGCGCGTAGCGGTGGAAGGTGCAGCGCGGCTCTGTCTCCCGCTGTCGTTGATCTTTGTTTGGGAGTGTCGGCTGTGCGCCCCTGGCTGATTGCGAAGCATGCCAAGGTCTAGTCAGGGGGAGGGCGGCGGTGCCCAGTCACGATCTCGAGCTTGGTTTGTTGTGAGTCCTCCGTATGTATATTTCGTTGCCGGGTTTTATTCCTGGTGTCAAGCGCGACACACCATCGCCCTGTATCGCCCTGTATCGCTCCGTATCGAGCTGTATCGCCCCGTATCGCCCTGTATCTCACCCGTACCATCCCGTGTATCGAGTGTGTGTCCATGTGTATCAGATGCGCCGTTTGTACATGTTTCGTGGGCCGTGGGAGTGGCCTGAGGCCGCGCCCCGGTCGCCCTTCCTCCTTGTATTCAATACAGGACGGAGCATATACCCCTGTGCTGTGTGTGAGGTATGATAGCAGCGACTCGATTCGAATAGCTGCCCTCGCCGCTGAGAAAACGGTTCTTCATTCCAGCGCACCGCTCGGCGGGCGGACGCAGCCTGTTGCACGGAACGGGGTGCGTCCGCACAGCCGCGGATTTTTGCCATGTGAACCGCTGCTGTCGGGGAGTCACGCCAGCGCCGACCGGCGGACGCGGCACGATCGTTAAAAAGGCGTTCTGCAGAGGTGCGCGGCGGCGGAGACGCGCTAATCCCCCGTCGAGGACACCGGTATCTGCCCGTTTTCCGGCCGCTCACTGCGCCGCTGGACCTGGCGCCCGCTCTCAGCTAGCGGGACTGCAGGAAAGCCGCGGCTGAAGTTCACTGAATTCACCCCAGCCAGCGGCGAGTCATCACTTGGACAGTGCAGATACACAGAACCCGCCCCCGGATGACGTCACACATCCACGTCTGACGTCTCTCATCCATGACGTCACACAGGCCACAGGGAGGGTTGCCGGCGGCTGGGGTGGCTCAGAGAGTCGCGTGTTGTCTGCTGTGCGAAGGGAGAGGGGTGGCGGAGGGAGGGAGAGAGGGGTGGCGGAGGGAGCGCACGTGTGGCGGCGACAGGATGCGATTGTGGCCGGTTCCGGTTGTCTGGCGATTGGTCAGCTGGCGGGGAGAGAAGGGGAGAGAGGCAGAGGACGGCCGCACCGGGGATGCTCCTCCCTATCCGAACGTCTGCGTGCCGTCTGCGGTGACGGGGCATGGCGGCCGCTGTGGTTGTGTGGGAACTCAGGGAAGGAAGTCTGGAGGTTGCTCGGGAGGCGGATAACGCATCAATTCCGTGTTCCGCGCGGCGACCGCCGTGTCTGAGGGACTGCGGAGTTCCTCGGGTCACTGAACCTTCCCGGCAGGTCATTCCTATTTCGACCCTAATCCGCCGCGTTATCTCTACCAAACCTCAATGATGTATGACTTCACGACCTTCTGCAGAATTTGTTGGCGACTGGCGTTCTCGGAAATGCACAGTGACCAATTTCTCCCCAACCAGTCATGCACTGAGGCCATGAACAGGCGTGCAGCGTATAAGGGTAAGAATGACTAACTAAACCTCACACGGCTTATAGAGCGTTGGCGTCCACGAGACCGTGACCGTGCTGGCCCACTTCCATAAAACAATGGCACGGCCCGTGTCCGGTAAACACAGAGAGCCGACCTGACTTCCCGGTGGCGAGGTCGTGCCGACCCGCGCCGTGGACCCGCTCCGTCAGCCGGCCCCGCCTGGCGCGGACAGAGCAATCAGCGCGGAGACCGAGAGAGTAGAGGGGAGGGGAGGGTCAGGTATCGGCCGCTGCCGGAGCTCGGGGAGGCGGTGGCCGTCTCCAGCTATATCCGGACGGAATAGCCGATATTACCTCCACTGCGCCACCGAGTAGACCTAGGCCCTGTTTCACCGGTGATAGCAGCAAGCTACTATCAAATTGCGCGAGCTGACGTAATGTGATGACGTCATACTGCTGACGTAAGGGGCAATTCTGGCGCACGATTGCCGCAATATTGTTTTACGTCATCAGCTAAATGTTCGAAGTTAATGTAAAAAATTTTCCTAAACCCAACTTCTTTTAAATACATCATATTGAAAAAAATATATATCAAAAATATATATACTATCATGACTGCGTAAACTCTTACTTTTAGGCTCATACGTCACTTAATGCCGCCGCCAAGGTCGCGGCAATCGTGCGCCGGAACTACCCATTACGACAACAGTATGGCGTCACGACATGACGTCAGCTCGCGAAACGTGATAGCAGCTTGCTGCTATCACCGGTGAAACAGGGCCCTGATATCGGCCACCGCCGTGGGCTGTGGGCGGACGGACAGGCGGACAGACACACACGGGACAGACCTGGCCGCCAGAGGGGCCGTAAAGTCCCAGATCAGGGACATATGACTGGCGGACGACAGAGACAGCGAGATCTCGAGGACACCACGAAATGGTTCCTGGTTCGTCAGAGAGATCCACTAAAGAAACCGGCACGCTTGCAGGAGGTGATGCAACAATGACCGCCACATCTTACATGAGTTATTTCAGTTTGCGGCAATTTGTAAAGGTGTTTGTTGCAGTAAACAGGTCTGCATCGGGAACACGGCGCATTGCTGCAGACCCGTTGTGATAAATGGTCTTGATTATGTACCCATAAATCTATTGTGAAGCAACAAAGATGCTAAATCTCAAACACCTTCAAACATCAATTACAACGGCCATTACACTGAAAAACAGTCATTCATGATTTGACCTCCGTGGCTTCCTGACACCGCAGTATGCATCTTGCGGCAGACCACCCGGTAGAAGCGACCGGTCGGACGTAGGTACACAGCACCACGGCATCCGTCATTGCCTGCACGCTGGCACGCGGACGGCCTCGCCGCTGGAAGGTGCGGCTCGTAATGACTGTCATCAGCGGGGTGAAGGGATGCAGCAGTCCGCCGGCGGAGCGGCCGGTGTCGTGCCGAAGGTCATGTGTTGGTCAGACCCGTGCGGCAGAGGAGCCGCCCCGCCCCGCGGCGCAGCTCTGCGGAGTCTGCCTCCATCAAGGCGAACAGGGCCGGCCGCGGACGGAGCTCGACGGACGGAGCTCGGCGTTCTGCGGCTGCCGAGCTGCCCTCAAGGCCGCGGAGGAGGCGGCTCGGGAGCTCGGGAGCCGTCGTGTAGTCGCCGGTCCGGTCCGGCTGACCGCCGATCTAACGACCGCTGCCGAGACCGCGGCGGTACAGATACAGCCCGGTGCAGACAGCGCGGAAATAATGAGCCCAACGATCGGCAAGGCCGGTTTACAGAGCTCGTCACGGTGCGTGCGTTTTTCAGCCGCGGCGAGTCACAGGCGGCACCGGTCTCACCGGCAGTGATAAGTCATATCACTGCGAACAGTGCGAACGGTGACAAGGTCATCTCGACAGGAGACTGCTGCCACCAGCCGGCGGCGACGGCTTGGCTTCACCAACACTCCCCTCATCTGAACAACAATCACCGAGACGACCGGTTTTCAATCTTCGGCTCCTAATCCGGCCGGTCAGCGCTCGATGCTTCAATCACATCAACAAATCCGGGAGCGAAGGTCAGACAAATTGGTCGGCGGGGGCCGTCCGCGGCCGAAATGCGCCACTCTCCAGTCAATAAGAGGGTGCGTTGAACTTATTGCGTGCCGGGGGATACCAATCTCATACGCTATGCAATACGAGACGCTTTCCTCGGGCAAAATTGTGTGACGAATGGGTCTATGAAGGCACGAGGAAAATGCGACCAATGCGTTCACAGTCCGAAGAACGGGCGCAGGAAAACTACAAACTATGGCATGTCTAGAAGGGTACCAGGAATGCATTCGCAGCAAAATACTTGCGTGACTGCACGAATAGCAGTGGAGCCTGCTGAAGAATGGCCTAGAGTATTTGTTGTTTTGCATTGTTGTTACGCATGGGCGGTGAAGCAATCCAAGCCAGTTTTAAGCAGGACATGACTTATCGATGTGGTGGATAATACAAGTTTGCGCGAAACATCAACAGAGTTCAGTAAAGTACGCTATCACGATTCACACTCCCGTAGCGGGAAGTTCCTGAGATCAAATCTATCTCGAGCTCTCAGTCTTTCCTAGACTTTCCCAGCCAGCCACTCGACTCGAGCGATCTAATTTAGACCAGTGACCTTTTCACACCACGCAGCATCGAGCCCTTTCTCCCGCGACGCAACCGGACACTCCACTCGCATGAATCACAAACCTGTGCACTGAACTTTCTCAGCCCTGACCTGTGTGAAGCACACACCTCACTGACCGCTGTTGCGTGTCGATTAGTGACCGCAGAGGTACCCCGCAGCTGCGGGGGCCGGTGGGAGTGGGCCACCCCAGCCCGCTGATATGGCACGGCCCGTCCCGCACCTGGGCACGGTTCGTGCTGCGTACCACAGCGGCCCGCCCCGCTGACCGCGTGTAGCAACGCAGCACGGCACGCAGACCGAGCAGACCGCACGGGGTGGTACGGTGGTCGGAACGGGCTCCACAAGACTCAGTTAGTCTCCGATAATGGGAGCGCAAAACGGGCAGACAGTAATGGACACCCACTTTATCATAGCGATGCTCAATAGAGTAATCGTTTTGCAAAAGTCAGTCAAAGATTTTAACCAATGCACATTAGCCTCTATTCCACTATTCACAGACTACGAATAGCCGATCCCAATGCCGTCGATACCAGATGTTTGGAATAACATACTAGCCCAGCTAATAGCTATCCAGAACCGTTTCAACAGTGTCCACATTATAGCGTTATTGCACCATCGCATCCACGTTCTCACAAGCGGACGACATTGCGACGCCGACTGACCTATCCTTGACCTAAACCCAGTCTTTGACCAGTTTCTTCGCATCCTGCCTGATAATCTTTCCCCTTGAACCGTGACACTCCAACGGTGGCCAGAATCCAGCGAGTTCTGCCTCCCAGGGTCGTCTTTTCGATGTGAACTCTTCTAGTGATGTCAATTACGGAAAATCGGAATACCGATACCAAACCAAATACCAACCAAAACCATAGGAAAATACCGAAACCAAACCAACTTAGGAAAATGAGGGAAATACCAACTTTTTACCGATTTCTTAGCCTCTTATACATTAGTGAGGGATCATGATACCAACAAAATACCAAACACATTACGATTGAAATACCAAATACCAAGTTGGTATCGGTTTGGTATCGGTATACCAAAAAGTTGGTATCCGATTGACATCTCTAAACTCTTCCTAGTCTTTTCTCCTAAGCCTTTACGGTGACCGCCACGCTTCCCCGCCACCTTCGTCCCTCCAGAGCAGCGCGCTATCCATCCATCGACCCATTTATTGCCAGCGTGTCCGCGTGTACGGCCTAAACCAATGACGGCCGCCAGGAGCCAAACCAATACAGCCCGGCCGCGCCGACCGCCGGCCGACGCGGCCACGGACGCGCGGAACGGTGGTGGCGGCC